ATACCTCACATATCAGATAACACTTTTGGCACATTCACATAATAAATTACATATAAACTATTATTCACCAAACTTTTTATGTCATGTGTGGTGTAAAGATAATTGTTATATTGTTGACATTGGGCAATTTTTTGTTAAAGCCTAACAACTAGCTTAGATATTTACAAGTTTTTAGAAATCCTAAAGAATTTGAGATAATAACACTGTATCATAAGGTCTGTCTTAAGTCAACTGCTATGGTTTTGATTCACCAGTTGTATGTGACAAGGAGAAGGGTTGCCTGTTGAACCTAATTGTGGGTTTTCTCCAGGTCTTCCGTTTTCCTCCCACTGCTAAAGACCCTACGCACTAGCGAATTATTGAAATAAAATAGAACCATATTATGACCTAGTTTGTGTCGAGTGGATGTTAAAACCCATTTCTCTCTCTGTAGCCATCTTGATAAGCCCAGTTGATGCAGAAAAGTAGGATGTTATTTTATTAAACCCCATTTCATTTATTCATTCTAATGGAGGTTAACTGTGTTGTTTGTTGTCGTCAATAGTCTGGTGGCCCTCGTCCATTATCCATTACTATTTACTATTTCAAGTTTTTAAAACTTTATTTAAATTAGCTTAGTTACTAACTCAATATCGTCCAAAGTCTTCAACATTGAAAACACGAATTATTTGTCAATTTAAATCAACACTGATGTTGTGATCTTACCAGGAAAAAATGGGCTTCTGATATCCAATATTTAAGAAAAAATAGATATCTTACCAATGGTACACGAATGGTGTACCACAATGCAATTGAGCGCCATTTGTAACAAGGGGCTCGAAGATCGAGGCTAGACATATTCCACTAGTCATGTCAAACGGTGACGACATATTCTTATCTGGAGAGCATGCACAATAAATGATGTCGGTGTAGACTGTAATAACCAGACTCTAGAGATTGCCATTTGATTGAGACTTCTGGTGTATTTCGCCGACCATAACTGATTTGAAATTAAGAGTAAAAACGGAAAAAATTGAATGTAAATCAGTCAGTAAATATTATCATATGCGTTGCGACGCATTTGTGTCAATTTCTAGGCCCCAAATATTAGCGATTTAGCTTCTTTAAAGATACCTTTAGCAGCATCTGTTTACACCCCTCAATTTTTCCACAACTGCCTAACCATTAGATCAAGAAATAACAACCGATCCCAAAGCCAAGCTGGCAGACAATACGTCGGGTTGCCAGTTAGTGATACCCTGACATTTTTGCCCAGTGCTTGCCCCATGGGTGTTTTTCGGGTAATCCAGTATTTTTCTAGTGAGATTGGGCATCTGTACTTTCCATATATACCAAATTTGCCATACTTTTATTGGAAATAACCACCCGATAAATAGTTTTATAGGAATGTATGTTTAAGTTTCTTTAGTTTCAGTGTATCCTAAGGATAATTAACCCTATTGAAAATGAGTGCATTTACAGATATGCCCACATTTTCGAGAGATGGATAGAGAACAAGCTAAAACGAAAGTGATTTTTCCTACAATCAAGGGCAATAATTCAGGAAATTACAATTCGATATACGCAAATATCCAAAGGAATCAAGATCTTTGGGTTATAAACTTACATTTCAAGTTTCAACAAAATCAGATTAAAATTGTGACCTCTATAGGGTCCACAACCTTGATATACCATATTTTAACGCTATTTGAGAACGAGGGGCAGTCATTTTGTCTGTCAGTTTTGGGCCGATTTTCACGAAATTCAGACTCAGCCGTCCTTAGGGTGTAACGGTGATATAATAATATGTTTTTTTAAATCGGATAAAAATTATGACCTCTATAGGGTCCACAAGTTAAAAACGCGAAGTTACGTTCCAATATGCGCGAATATCGAAAGGAACCAAGATCTTTGGGTTATAATCATACATTTCAAGTTTAAACCAAATCGGATAAAAATTGTGACCTCTACAGTGTTCACAAGCCAAATATACGTGATTTTTCGTACAATCAGGGGCCACAATCCATGAAGTTACAGTCCGACACATGCCAATATCGAAAGGAACCGAGATCTTGGGGTGATAAACCTATATTTCAAGTTTCATTGAAATCAGATAAAAATTGTGACCTGTAGACTGTTAACAAACAATTGTGGACGGACGGACAGGGGCGACGACAATATACGTCCACATGAAAATGTGGGCGTATAAAAATATTTTGAAATCACACATTGAAGGAAGGATTTGTATTGTAGTTTATGGGTTACTGATGAAAATATCTGGTTTAAATGCAAATGAGGAACCCTTGAAATATTAGATATAAAATATAAGAAGCGTAAAACAATAATTTTACAAAAGGTTTTGTTCTGTAGACAAACTGGAATCCATTTCAGGAGAAATACATGTACTTATAATGTTTGTAAACACTAGACTGGCGACAATATTCTTCTCTGTATGAAGAATTTTCTCCAGCCCTGTATAAGCCAGTAGCTGACATCAAATATCTTGCCACCTTTGCTCCATCAAAAAGCAGTTTAACATTTTAGTGAAAGTATGTGTTAATTATAGCATTCTCATTCCAAAAATCAAAGTTCTTAGAGAAATACTCTGCAGTTTTGATAATAAAATCCATTTTTAAAGTTCGCGCTCCACATATATCCGCCCAATTGAACAAAGTTGAGTGTTTTGAATAGTTTAACATGTGCTCGTTTGATTGAGTTAAGTGGTGTGGTTTTAATTCCAAGCTTGTACGTGACAAGGAGTCGAACCTCATGTAGTTTACTCCGGGTCCTCGGGTTTCCTCCCACAGCTATATGTTGTCCATTGCCAGGCCCTCTGTCCTACATCACTGACATGGGGGGAACCATGTCGGAAAATACAGGTGAACTTTCTCGACCAACACCAGAATCGAACAAGGGACCTCAAGATTTGTGTTCCACCGTGGCCCCCATTATAAAATGTTGTTTAACATCCTACTTTCCTGCACCATCAGGCGTATTGAAGACCGATATACACAAGATTATAATAATATGCTATGAGGTACTTTTGCTGAACAGCAGCGCTATGGCCTAATCTTTTACGTGAAAGACATGTACACAAGTTTTCAGGCCTGATTTCTGTACCAACCAGGCTGATGAAGACAGGCATATGTATGGAAGCCAAAGGGTACTCTTTAACTCTTTCTGGACTTCACATGCTAAGCCAAAAAACTGGTCAGTCTCGTTCACTTCCCTATGAGGTTTAGCACAAAGGCAGGAAATAATCAGTACAAAGCCAAGAAACTTCTTAATTTCGCCTTGTTCATTTCTGTCTTTTGCGCTGTTAACTCATATTAAAGCAAGTCGCAAGAAATAAATAAGACGAAGCAGAGAAGTGACTAATTAATTCTTGCTTTTGCGCTGAACCTCAGAGATTAGGACCATTTGTCACGGATACCTGGCTTTACACTTAGTCAACGTGAAGGCAAGAATGAGAGAAGGGATACTTATCCATACATATGCTGTGTAATGTGCTATGAGAAAATTTTGCCTGTACAACGGTGGTACGACCTACTTTTATTATTTTGAATACAAACTGTTTAGGTTCTTTTATGCATCACACCAACGGATCTCCTGTTTAGTGAGGCTAATTAAAGACATGTGACCAGTACCTATGTCGAAATATGGGAGTAAGCTTCTGCAGTAAAATAATCGTCCAACTGTGAGCGCTAAATACAAATACTGCTGGGTTAGAACATCAGAACTATCAACATTTTTATTCAGAATACATATTTTTATTTGGCAAAGCAAAGTTCTTTTATAATTCTTGATGCTGGAGCAAAATTTTTTTTTTGATAACATTATTTGGTGTCAGCTACTGGCCTAGTAACATAGAATATTTTTTGTTTCGGTCGAAACACATATTGTTTTCGTAAGTGTTTTTATTATTTTTTTGTTTTTTTTTCTGGAATTTAGTCAATTTGTGCAGCCAAAACTGTACATGGTGCCAACAATCTGCCAACGGAGATGTGTTTGGCCTCTGTGCGTGCATCTATTTATTAAATATAAATTGGGTAATTTTTAATGAACGGGAAGTGTATTACGGATGGGACAAAAAATAATCCTAGATTGCCCATATCTCGGTTATTTCTCAACGGATCGTCTTCAAATTTTCATTTTTGGATTCTTTGAACGAATACCATCTGGGCTCTGACTGACGTTTTTTAGAAATTCGGAAGTTCGCTCGATTAATATTAGCATCAAAGATTTGCGATGTTTTTCTTCATCATTTTTTGACATTCAAGATGGCATATCTCCGTCATTATTTGAGGTATCAAGTTGAAATCAGGTAGGAATAAGGAACACACCGATGCCTTCAAAATAGCATATGAAAAGTTTTTGTGACGGTTTCCGGAAACTTCCGGAAATTACAGAGGTCTTCCCAAACACGAATAGTTCTCTCCATTTTAAAAATAGACAAAAAATGACATATGGTGGTGTTAACCCCAGATATTATCTTTCATTTTCAAAGACCTTGTTCGAATAATATTTTCAACCGCTTGGTCGCTATATTGGATTTTACAAAACACATTCAAATCAATATTCAGCCGCCCTTTTAATTCTGATTTTTGAAAACATTTTTTTGTATTGAACCTACTCCAAATGGCAACAATCCTTAGGGAGCCGATTTTTGAATTTCGATTTTGTTTACTTCCGGTTTCACTTTGAAGTTTGTTCGACTTTTCACCATCTAGATGGTGACCTAATCTTTCCACGACCCTTGACCTTTGTATGTATGATGACCCTGATGTCTACTAACAATTAATATAAAAAAGTTTGGTTATGAAGTATAACTTCCCGTTTTATTAAGAGTTCAAAATGACATGTTTTTCCACTATGATAAGTATTGGATGTTACTATACTCGATAATTTATGGTGTAACTTGAATGTTGATGTGACAAGGCGTGACATATCGAAACACGTCAGTTCTCCTTAGGAGTTCTAGTTCTTATTTGAATCCCATTGTATTTTTTTTCTGCTTTCAGTTTTGTGTTTACCAACCAAACTACCTCAGATAGAAGGATTAGATCCTGGTATAGTGATTATAGAACAGCCAAATGATCCAATTATAGCCATTAAAAAATCTAGTGTCTTAATCAACTGTTCAGTGATATCCAGTAGTGAACATGGGCAGGTTCATTATTTTTGGAAAAAAGATGGCATTCGACTGAATAACAAAAAACATCGATCCCGGTTAGAGATCATGAGAAATGGTTCATTGCACATACGCCGAGTTATTCACAAAGGGAAAGGCAATATGCGCACAGATGAAGGATTTTATGAATGTTTCGCAAGAAATAATGTTGGAACAGTTATTGGCAGACGAGTGGAATTAAAAGTCACTAGTAAGTAAATCTTGTGTATTGAAGATTATATTTTAATTATGATTCCACTTTGAGAACAAAGTATTGGTACATGCCATTAGTTTTCTAGAAATATCTGTAGATTGTCACTAATGTTTTTACCAGCCATTCAATCAATATAAGTCTTTAAGCAATAAAATACACATAAATGAAATTGGCACATATTTAATTCTCACAATTGGGACAAAATAATTATTCTTCTAATTGGTGTAGGTGTTTATTAGGCTGATGCCTTGATAGAGTTCGAAGATAAGCATTTTCTGCTTAGGGTAAGCAGAGATAAGCAATTTGATTGGTTGACGCTTTGGAACGCGATAACTTTAGTTCTGATTAAGTGAGAGTGTTAGTTTCATTACATCAATACCTTGACTAAGTTTGATAATGAACATTTTCTGCTCAGGGTAAGCAGAACGATAAGCAATTTGATTGGTTTGCACTTAGTGTAGGTATTTATTAGGTGAATGCCTTGATGGAGTTCGAAGATGAGAATTTTCTGCTAAGGGTAAGCAGAGAGAAGCAATTTGATTAGTTGATGCTTTGGGATACGATAACTTTAGTTCTAATTAAGTAAGAGTGATGAAACTTGGTGGTAGTTTCATCACATCAGTACCTTGACTAAGGTCGATAATAAACATTTTCTACTGAGGGTAAGCAGAGCTATAAGCAATGTGATTGGTCAAGACTTTGAAACACAATAACTCTTCTTCTAATTGAGGTAGGATGTTCAAACTTGGTTTAGGCATTCATTAGGTAAATGCCTTGATGGAGTTTGATGATGAACATTGTCTGCTTACGGTAAGCATAGATAAGCAATTTGATTGGTTGATGCATTTGGACACGATAACTTTGTGATAATTAAGTGAGAGCAAAGAGACTCCAAGTATAGATTCATTATATACTATTCAAAAAAAGTAGGGGATATTTGATTTTTAAGTGTTATTAAAGTCACCTAATGAAACTGACGAAGAAACAAATGACAAAATGAAATGAAGTTCACATTCATCGATTTATTCCAAATGATTGTTAGACTAAGTAAGGCACAGACTGACCATTATAAGGGTAAAATGATACCCGGGGTCAAACAGCAAAGTTACCACAGCATCACAACCAAGTCAGTAACGGGTAAATCCTCCTCTGTTTGCCAAACAAGCATTGATCCGACGTGGCATACTCCTAATGAGACGTCTAAGGTCATTTTGGTCCAGATTGTCCCATTCCTGTTGCAACGCAGCAGCAAGTTCTTGGACATTGGCAGGACGTTGTTGACGTTGACGTAACCTCTGTCCAAGCATGTCCCAGACATGCTCGATGGGGGAGAGATCGGGACTCAGTGCTGGCCAAGGTAATGTTATGATGTTCTGTTGTTGGAGGTAACCTGTAACGATCCTGGCCCTGTGACATCTTGCGTTGTCATCCTGGAAGATGAAACGGCGGCCATGACGTCGTGCGAACGGCACAACATGGACTGCCAAGATGTTGTCCCGGTAGTACTGGCCTGTAACACGCCCTGCAACAACATGTAAAGCCGTTCTTCCAGCAACAGTGATGCCTCCCCACACCATAACAGAACCACCCCCAAATCGATCATGTCTGATGACGTTAAAGTCTTGGAAGCGCTCGTTTCGACGACGCCACACCCTCCTACGTCTGTCTAAAAAATCAACAGTGAACCTTGACTCATCTGAAAACATCACATTGCTCCAGCGTCGATTATCCCAGTGTTGACGATCCCTACACCAACGACGTCTTGCCTGAATGTGATGATCTCTCAAACAAGGGATCACGCGAGGACGTCGGGCGCGAAGGTGACCCCTATGCAGTCGATTCCGAATCGTCTGGCCACTCACTCTCACACCAGTGTCTGTTTGAAGACGAGCGCTGATCTGATTTGCTGTGATGACACGATTTCTCAAGGCCAAGGTACGGATAAATCGATCCTGGGCTTGAGTTATCGCCCTTGGTCGACCTGAGCGTGGTCTGTCCTGTACAAAATTTGTTTTCTGGTCACTAAAACAATTAAACTGATGTTTCCACCCTGGAATTCAATGCCACAATGACTGTAACATTCAAAGTCAGAGTCGTGCAAATCTTGAGTTGGACCCCCATGATGATCCTAAGCATCACCTGCATTCCATGCGGTAGCTATTGGTGCGTTTGGGCGTCACATGTAACTGGAATTGTTTCTTCTGTTAGGTTCTATAGTGACTTTTTTCGTAGTCATTTGCATATTTTAGTATTATGCCCCCAAAATCAAATATCCCCTACTTTTTTTGAATAGTATATACTGAGCGCCATGGAAAATGCATCACTTAGTTTTTTGTATAACAAAATGATCCTGTAAACATATCTTATTTATTTTGCTTCTTATTGTGAACAATATTCAAGTGGGAACACATCAATAACAACACATTTGTACACTTATGGATGTTTAATCTGTAATCAACGGTACAAAGTCAGAGGTGTCAAAACCAAAAGTACGACACAGATGTTAGTAGCGCATGTGTCCTCCACAGGCTCTTACGCACGCTGTGCAGCGACGTCGCATGGAATTAACCAATGTTTGAAAGAAGGCCTGGGGCTAATTGTTTCATTCTTTGACAAGAGCAGCTTCTAAAGCAGCAATGGTGTGCATCTGTGGTCTCCGATACAGACGGCGTCCAATCTCATCCCAGACATGTTCTATCGGTGCCATGTCCGGAGACATGGCTGGCCAGTCCAAGACTTTAATGTTGTTAGCAGCCAGGTAGTCCATACGGTGATGAAATGTGAAGCCTCCCCACACCATTACACTTCCCCCACCCCATCGATTCGTTTTGAAGACGCAGCAGTCTGCAAGACGTTCCCCAAGACGACTCCACACACGTTGACAGCCATCAGCGTGATAAAGATGAAAGCGACTCTCATCACTGAAGAGCACACTTTGCCAGTTTACTCTTCTCCATGTCTGGTGCCCTTGAGCCCATACCAAACGCCGCTGACGGTGATGATCCCTGAGGATAGCTCCAACATAAGGTCGTTGTGCACAGAGTCCTACTTCTCTTAGACGACGTCTTACAGTGTTGGCAATTACTGGTCCTTGTCTTCCGACGACTTCTGCACCTGTTCGAGTCGCTGGGCGGAATCTGTCACACAGATGAGTGACCCAGATGTAGCGGTCTTGAGCCTGGGTTGTAGCGCGTTGTGGACCAGGACGTTGACAGTCACGTGTTGATCCAGTAACTCGAACACGTTCCACCAACCTTACAATAGTGGACTGATGACAATTGAAGTGTCTGGCAATAACACGTGTTGACATGCCAGCCCTGGACATTCCCATGGCTTCATTCCGTTGATTTTCAGTAAGTCTCGGCATCTCTAGCTCGATTCCTTCACACGTCCAACAACAAATTACGACAGATTGACATTTCACAGTTCATGTAATGCACATTAAGTTGGAAAAATGCTTTTAAAGGGCTCACACACAATGCTGCATGAGAAATGCCACATTCTGAAAATATCTCATCCACCTTTATTCTACAATCGGACATGATTAAACCCTCGTGACCCGTGCAACCATATCATCTGTAATGGCTTCAACAGGCCTTCCTGAACGTGGGTCATCGTCCAGAGAGCGGCGACCCTTCTTAAACTCAGCTGACCATTTTGCAACAGTAGAATATTGAGGGGCTTCCTTCCCATACACATTGGTTATACGTTTATGTATTTCGGTCACAATCACCCCTTCTTTCGTGAGAAATTTGATGACCGTATATTTCGTTTCGGTTTTTTTATACTTTTGATGGCGTACACTACATGAAGATCAGACAAGTTGTATGGAAGGTTGTGTTAGGGGTCGTACAAGCGGTTTTTGACCCTATGACGTCAGACATTGATTAATTAAGCAGCGTTGATGTTTCTAGTGGTTTACCCACAGTTCCGTGCATGACACGCCAAGAACTGTGTTTTAATCAGATTGGTGAATGCCTTGACTGAGTTAAATGATTAACATTTCCCTATAAAGCTAAGCAAAGCTAAGCAATTTCTTTTACTTTGATTCTATCTCATAGAGAGGGATGAAACTTAGTGTATAGTTGATAATAAGTTTGATGGCTCAATACTTTTGAAAAAGATAAACATGCAATTAATTGATATGTGTCATCTATTTATTTTTCGGGACATCAGCCTCAGTGTTGGCTTATTCTTCTTATTCTATAAAGATTCACATTGTGATTGCCTTTATGGAAGGTTTAGATGAACATATATTACTTTTCTCTGAAGTTTCAAAAGGAGAATTTTGAATTAATATTACAAAAGACCTGTAACTAGAATGTTATCCACCATTTTTAGTTGATGTTTTTTTGTGAAATTTAATGTCTGTTTTCAATTTAATATTGTCCTTTAATATTAGGTGTTATGAAAGAATATTGATTATCATAATAGTTGAATTTTGAGAAATTAAAAGAAAGGAGAATATGTATTCCATTTTCTTCAAATTTAATTACTTTGAAAACCAAATAGCTATATTGCTACCCAAAAACATAGTAATAATAAAGTGCTAAATTCACCAAACGTGCTCCTGTCTAATAATATAATAAAAACAAATAAGTTTTCAAGTCCCGATTTGATTGATTGAGTTTTGTACTTTAATGGAGGTTTAAAGGTGGTATATTCCACTTTGTAAATGCAGCAACTTGGAAGCGCTACCACCTATAGACTTGCACTTCAACTGAGGAACACAATGTTTTTTCCAATTAATTGATCGTAGATGGGATGTAAAATTTCAAGAAATCGCACATGGACTTTGGAGCATTTACCTCCACCACTGATAGGCAAGAGATAATATTTTGAAATCTATCTAGCAGCCAATGTAATCTTTTCAGTACTGGAGTGATATGAGACCTTTGACCTTTGAGCAGCTGTGTTTTGGATTCTCTAAGGTCATCCTATTTGATACTTTGGAATAACAACAGTTAGTGATGATATAACGAGTGGAGCCAATAATT